ATATTATAATACAAGAATCATATTAAATATAAATAATTAACTCATTATAGATATTGAAAACTTGAAAGGATAATGATGTGTGTACACCTGGATCCAACACTCAGTTCAACTTTTTTTTTTATATGGAGGGGTGCACACCGGGGTGTGGGATCCGGTATGCACTTATCATGATCCAATTTGAAATGACTTTACCTTTATAAAATTTGTTATTACTTGATTAAATTTTAATGCTTAAAGTTTTTTTTTATATTTACCGTTCAAACATTTTTATATGAATTAATATATTTAAAATTAATAATTATCAAAAGAAATCCTTTAAGATATATTTATATTAAACTATTATTATAAAAAATTATAAACGACAACTTATTAATTCAAATAGAGAAAATTCGATTACTTTTAAATAAGATTGATTTCAAGTTGGAAGTAGTTTAATTTCTTATTAAATAGGATTTAAGTTTGAGTTTTTTTAAATATAACAGCTTTTGGGAGAACTTTTAATCAAAACCCAATATATCCTTTTGATACAGGAGGTAAATATATATGGACGAACCATGTGAAGCATGGATTTTAGTCTAGTTAGAAATAAAAGAGAATCCATATTTTAATCTTCATTGTTCCTCTTGTTAGCATCTTCAATTTTATGTTCCAAAAATTTCAATTCATTAGCTTGGAGGCGTAATTCTAAGGAAGAAAGAAGAGGATTATTAATTAGAAGCTTAACTTAACAGAGAACGAAATTCAAGTTTAATTCCCACACCGTTCAAAACACTAGAATTTAATTTAATTTTTGTTACTATTTTTGTCATTTTCGTTAATCATATTCTACAGGAGCAGATATTATGATCGGTAGAAGACCGTAAAAGTCTTGGTCATTGCAGAAAAAAAGGGCTTCTAGTTCTAGCTGTTGCAAGCCTCATGTTTCTGCCTTGTTCCTTCGTTCATATGGGCAGACAAATAGAAATACAAATCCTGAATAAGATGCTTTGACATCGACAATATTGAATATCAACATTTGCTCTTATTGGTTTAAAATTAAAAGGCCTTTACAACAGTGTTTCTCTCATGCATTGTGTCTAGGGTTGAGAATGGTGGCGGTGGATTTTCCTTCCTAGGGTTTCCTTCGATAGAGGAGTTCCTTCATCTCTCCTTTGTTCTTACCCCTCCTTTTCTCCTCTTGATCTCCTCCTTCATCTTGTCACTGTCTTACTTTGGAAACTCCAACCCAAGGGACCACAAGGCAGCGACTTTTTGGGTTTTCTATGGTTTACAGTTATTAATTTTCGAAAGCTGCAATTGGAATTGATCTTATTAGTAAAGTGAGTTTCTTCTATTTAACAGACAAGAATCTCGTTTTGGTGTATCTCCTCAGATGGGATATTGATGGGGGTTGAATTTGATAAATTTGGTTCACACCAGTTCTCAATTAGCTAGTCAATTGCCAAAGGAAAGGGATGTTGTTGGTAAGGCCAACCATGGTTGGCATAGGAAGCCTGATTTTCAAGCCAGCAAAGGGGTTCTAGTTCCCTTAATGAGTTTTGACAGTATGGGTTTAAAGAGGATCGACAAAGATGGGAATATGATTGGGAGTATACAGAGGCGACTAGGGGGCCTTGTGCTTGTTAGGAGAGGGCCTATACCCCTCTTGGTTGTTCATCTTTAAGAATAAGTAAGGCGGCAACTTGTGAGTTGGGGACTATTTGTTACCGGAATCCTTTACTCTTCCCAAGAAGCTAGTTGAATAGGTGAGGATGTCCAATAGTTCTTAATGCTCACAGTGACTTCTCTTTCTACATTAATAGTTCTATTTAGCCTATATAGCGATTGTAAATTCAATCCCTAGTTGTAGATGACTTTCTTTACTTAGCTGTCTATATTCGTTATGGGCTTAGTTTAATTCTGTTATTAGTAATGTAAGTTATGCTTTTGATTTTGTCTTTTAAGTTATTCTGATTTTGGCTATATGTCATAAGATAGAAATTTTACTATAATTTCTTAGTACTTAATATATTTCTCTATTTCCCATAAAAAAAAAATAAAAAAAGCCTTTACAGCTGTCTTCAATTGACTTGATGTCAAATGCATCAAAATTTCTACTTTGTAGAACTTGTTTTATCTTGGCTTTTGAATGAGAATATCCAAATCAAAACCGAGACTATAAACCAGTAGCTTATTTACAAGCATTGCATGAGATTTTGCTTTACTTGATGGGTTCTTTTAATTACTTACTCTGTGTTCTGTCATGGCTGCTGGGTTTGCTTCTCGGAATCAACAATACCCTGTCCGAAGAGTACAAGACATACATAATCCACATGGATCATTCACAAAAACCTTCCTCTTTCTTAACCCACGAGTCTTGGCATTAATCCATCCTAAGATCTTTATCCAATCCTGTTCTTAACGCCCAAAAGTTCTTGTATTCTTACAACCATGTCATGCAGGGCTTCAGTGCTAGGTTCACTCCTTCCCCGGTAGCTGAAATTCGGGAATCACAGGCTCATCTTGCATCACAGGAGGAGTCCATCGGCAAGCTAGTCACGACCTACTCAACCACCTTTCTCGGATTGAACCATGATTCTGGCTTATGGCCTAGTGCTTCATATGGCGAAGGAGTGATCATAGGACTAATTGATTCACGGGTTTGGCCAGAAAGCTTGAGCTTCAGCGACAACGGAATGCCACCAGTGCCACGGCAATAGAAGGGCAAGTGCCAGAATGGCACAGGTACCCTTTTTGCTTGTAACAATAAACTTATTGGTGCTCGAACATTCATTAAAGGATTCCAAGCTGCAACAAAGAAGAAATTGGACGCAACAGATTATTCCCCAAGGGATCAGCTCGGGCATGGAACCCACACATCATCAACGGCTGCTGGAAACTATGTGGAAGGAGCAAGTCAATTTGGATTTGCAAGTGGCGCTGCAAAGGAAGTTGCGCCGCGTGCTTACGTTGCCATGTACAAGTTATCCCCCGATGGATTTGTAGCAGAAAATGATGTTCTCACTGCCATGGACCAAGCCATAGTACACAGCGTTGATATCATGTCATTATCCATTGCCTTCCGCCAAAAACCTTATTTTCAAGATGTCATTGCCACTGCTTCTCTTTCAGCAATGGAGAGGGGGATAGTTGTTGCTTGTGCTGCAGGGAATGAAGGACATCCCAATACCACA